GTTTAATTTATACATTTGATAAGTATATTCGACTGGGAAAGTGTAAGGATTACTTGCCAAGTTTCTGAATGTTGTTTTTTATATCTCAATCTGAATTTGATATATTTTGTCAGCATTCAAGAAGTTTGTGTTTGACTGTAATGAGTGCAAGGTAGATCTTCCATGGCCAAGAGGAGTATGATTATGTTTACATATAATATATTTCTAAGTAAAATGAATGTTAAAAATTCTTTCTCAAATTTCAGTATTTGACGTTAATATTTATTAACATCACATGCCCACCTTTTTTAAGATCCAAAATAATGAATGTTTTTAAGAAAATTAAAAAAAAAAATTATTTTCATCACGTTTTATTGAAATTATAACTCATTGATACAATTAATTTCATAATTCACACAAATCATATACCCGCATTAGGTTTAGGTATTCAATATCATCACTGCAGGCATATTAGTAAGGTAACAATTATAATTTTAATTAATAATTTATATGACAACTTACTCTGGATTCTGAAACACTTATAAACATCCAAATTGCTATTATTTACAGAAATTCTTCATCAGATATTGCGAATTGCGATTTGCGATTCAATAATAATATTGATATCGATTACACGGAAATTAGAATTTGGATTTTTGGTACACACATAATAATATTCTTATTTCTTAGCATTGATAAACTTTTATAGGTCGATTTTATAATTAATTATTATTACTAATAAGTAATAACTAACTTGTTACTTACACCATAGATAAAATATCTATTGGATTTTGGAACCGAAAAAACTTCCGCATCAAAATATAGGTTTCGGTTACTAAAAAAATGTATTTAAGGGTTCGGGTCTGGTTTCGGCCCCGAGATTTTCAAAAGGTTTCGGTCCAACACCGGTCAACGGTTTCGGTACGATTCCAGTCCCTGGATCAAATCAAAGGTATGCTGGCTGATTTGCTTACATACTAGGATCAACAAGCGGACAGAACGCCGAAGACTAAATATAATTCAAATCTCAAAAAATAAGGATGCCAATCGGCAATTATACTATCCTCGCATTATACTCAATACATTTTATAATACATGCGCAAATATGCAATAATTACTCTGTTCGAGGATAACCGTTGATTACGAAGCAATATTTCACGTGTATAATATGGTGGAAAGTCGATCGTCTTAAAGCAATAATTTGACGTTTAGAAAACGTGGAGATGACCTCTGCATTTCCAACTGCCACTCCCGAGGATCTAAGATGGACTGGAATATCGTTATTGGATATTGTGATGAGGTTACTTTTCACCCTCGCCACGGAGGCGGGATAGCAGTATAGGATTATTTAAAGCAATTGCTTCATGTCTGAAACGGGTCGGTGGCACAGGCGGAAATTAGGTGGAGGGGGATAAGCTGCCCAAAACAACAGATGACTTTTGAACTGTACATATGGAACCGTATTTTTGTTAATAATGTAAGCCCCTCCCCCTGAAATTGCAATGGATTTCCGCCTATGGACTAGGTGGCCCGGACCGGATGAAACCTCAAGCCCTCAACATACATTTCATGACAAATATTATAATTTATATCATAACATGTTGCCGAGTTTAGAGATAGCCATCTGGCCTCTGCGACCGACTTTTTGTATACTTTGGTGTAATGAAGGGCCGGGGTGGTGGTAACTGGTAAACATGTTTACAACATACAATTTGCTCCAAAGACTCCAAAAGTTCACGCCGCCTTGTATGTGGCGTATCCAGCTCACTTACCTATAGTTATATTGTTAGCGCATACTCTCCAAATGTATACAATGTTAAGGGGGTTACAGCCGTATATCGCGGAGACAAGAACAATAAATATTTTGCTTATAATAAAAGGTATTTAGTAGATATCTGCTGGCGTGATTATCTAAACACATTATAATAAATTAATTTGATGTAATTTAAAAATGTAGCAGTACTAATGTACCTACTAAATGTACTAGTGGTAATAATTGTAACTTGTGTATCAGGTACGGTCATAATAAGGGCTGCAAGAAAATACAAAGTATATTTTTATTTATGATAAGATTTTTAGTTTTTACCTTTGTTGTATTTACCTGCGTGAAAAGGGCGTGTACCGACTAATATTTTTAGCAAACATATCACTGGCTCGTATAAAATATGTAATATTATATTATTGAACGCTTTAGACAACATGGACTGGTAACGGGGGACCCGGACTGGAGACTAGAACAACTAACAAGTACAAGTAGAAAATTTAAACTTTAGACAATATTATGGCTCTTATTAACACTCGGTTTTTAATTTTGTTACAAATCTGCAGCTGTACGCACCTAGAGATGTAGAAAAAAAATTTCGGAAAACTGAAAGATGATGAAATGCTCGGTTCACGATACGCCTTGGTATATCTTAAACCGTGCAGGTTATAATGCGGAAAAGAATTTACATCAATGACAAAACATATTTCTTATAATATCAGTGTTATATTATACTTTCAATGAATGTCAAAATTATACAATATATGTGACTTAATCCAAACAATATAATATAGGGATGTTAATTGATAACATTCTAAGTACACATAATATTATGTACGCGTGTGTGTTTATAACTGAATTGCTATTATTAATGATATAATAACACAAAATATTACACTCAGAAAAAAAAAAATCATAACTACGTACATTTATTGCGAACTAAATGACCTTTTGTCTAATAAACATAATATTTAAGCTACATATGCGTCCGTCCGGAACTATGTGAACGATGAAAAAAAGTTTATACACGAAAAATTGGTCCATTTACACATCATAAATATCTAAAAATAAAATATTTTATACCCATATATAGTGTTTATATATATATTATATATTTTTTTTTTAATTTTTTTTTCAAATATCATTTTATTAAATTTTAATCACTTAATCAAATTCTTTAATCGTTTGTCGTTTTTTCTAACATTTATCATATTATACTTGGTTATTAGGAATCAATAATATAGTATAATAATAATATTATTTAATAATAATAATATAATAATATGTAATATTTTTTAATATTTTTTTTTTTTTTTTTTTGGAATCTATAACAACACATTTGTATAAAGCAAAAACATTGAAATTATGCGACTAAACTAAAAAAAAAAAAAAATAAATAAATAAAAAAGCGTTCGAGTAAAAAACAAAATAAGTATGTATAAATATACCGCCGACCGGGCATTTTACCATATTGGTACATATTGGTACATAATAGTTGGTATATAATAATATGTATTCGTCGTTATACACTTAGGTGCGGGTGTGTTTGATGGGCAGCGGGTGGTGGTGGGTTTGGTGAACGGAAAGCGTGCGGATATAGAAGTCAACGAGTAATGGTATACACAACACTATACCTATACAATTTCGGTCGTATCACCGAACCACAATCATTACAATTAGTGGATGGAAACAATAACGGAATACAACTTGGGCTCGGAGGATATGATATTATATTTATATCGTCTGTTCGCCAATAAATGATGATTCGACGTATATATATCATGTGCAAGTGTGTGATTTGAAGAAAATTATCTAATATTGGAACGATATATACATATATATTATAATATAGCGAAATAGATATCGATGAGGCGTCGTGTATAATATATTATATTATATATGACTGCAGAAAAAAATAAAGCGAAGAAGACACTATATATAAGACGATGAGGGGGTGAGTTGTGGACTAGTGTTGTTCTTCGGCGGGAGGGTACATAATATCGATTCAGTTACCACGCGAACGGACCGCGGTATAAAAGGCGCAGCACGCAAGTAACCGAAATGCCCATCATCATCATCATAATCATCATCGGTATATTATATAATATTTTGTATAAATTACGATGTGCACACTACGTCGTATAGTCGAAAAATCATAGTATTATATTGTAGTATATGCGTATAGTATAGGTATAGTGATAATGATATATAATAATAAAAAATAGAATCAACTAATTTCCGTAAAAAATAATAATAATAATAATAAGACTCGATGAGAATATATTAAAGAAGAGAGGTAGGTGGTAGAACGGAGCGTGAGGCCATTATTTAATTATAATATGCACAAATATTATATTATTATACACATTATATTATGTAGCGCGCGCGGACGACGAACGAGTGCGTGTGAGTGTGCGAGATTTCTTATATATTATCAAAAACGATATTTTCGACACGATTTGGTTCCGAAAAGTAAAACAAAATTTAGGCACGAAAAAAAATGAAAATGTCGGTCAATGTAAAAAAAATTAGGTACATTGTAATTTCGTCTATAATATAATATATCAATGTAACGAGTAAAACCAGTTGCGTAACGATACGCAATAAAATAATGATTTCATATATTACGCGCATTATATGCGAACGACGCGGATGTGGTGTTTGTGTGTTGTGTGTCTCGTTTATCGGTTTATCGTCGTCTCGACCCCGCTGGTCGAAAACGTTTTCGATTTGAAATAATTTGTTTTTCAAAAATACAAATGATATCTCTCCCGATTGTCACACAGCAGTGTTGTATAGTTGTGGGGGTGCGCGCCAATATAATAACAATATGTACATAATAATATCCGTTTTTTAAGTCTCGGGGGCCGAGGATCCCGTCCGAAGGGGTTTATTTCGGGCCCCGCGAAGACGCGAAACGGTAAAAAAAAAAATTAAGTTTAAAAACGTTTTGCCCGTACGTCGGTCGTACAGGTCGTATGACATATAGGTAATACTATTATGATAATATCGCGTATTGTCGTTTTGCAACGTTCGACAATAAAATAATAATAATAATAATAATAATTTAAGAAAAGAGCGAATACAATCGAAACAGTACGTAATAATAGTAAAATAATCATAATAATAAATAATATAAACGCGACGACCGCGGCGGCGGCAGCATGGAAAAACCGCGGCGACGGCGTCGGCGATGGTGCACGACGAGGAGGACGATGGCGCGGCGGCGGAGGCGTCGGCTGCTGCGGAGGCGTTTTGGTCAGAGCGTCGGCTTCTTCAGCAACCGTTTCTGCCGGCAATCGTACACGCGGCGGCAGAAGAATATCAGATCGGACGGCGCACCGTCGCCGGGCAGCTGTCTGGCCCGCGGGTTGGCCTCGCGCAACGGCGGCACCACCGCCTTGCACAGCACCAAGTTCTCTTGTACCGACTTCATGTGCTTCCGGTGCCTGCGACGTGCCGAAAACAGAAAAACAACAATGTCGTTAGTTTATTGGAAATTATATATAATTTTATTAATATAATATTAAATTGCAGTAGCAATAAAATCAAAATCGACGCTATAGACCAGGGATGGGCAACTCAAAGTAACTAGCGGGCCACTTTTAAGTACTTTAAAATCTAGCGGGCCGCAGTGCATAGGAGAAAGCAAAAAAAAATTAAAATTTTATTTTTTATCTTTATTTATTTATATTTACAATTATTATTTAATGTGATACTTGAGGATGAGGTTTTTCAATAGACAATTTAGTAAAATCCACTTCTATTTCTGTAGTTGAAACTCTTAGTAAATGTCCCAAGGTTTCATCTGTTAAACGATTTTAGTACTGCAATAATATTTAAACAAACTAAACATTGAGGTTTTTTTTGTTTGTTAATAATAAATAAATATTCATTCTCCCATAAGCTGTTAAAAATTCTATTTTCGTCTTCGATTTTACGCTTTTTAGCGGACATTTTTAAAATAATAATAAAACACGAAAATAATAGTACTAACGGCGCGGCGGTGTGACACTACGGCAGTACGGTACGGCAGTACGGATATGACTAAACCGATAAAATGAAATAAATAGTATGTTAGCTATGCCATTATAAATATATATTTAGACATTTATAATTTAGTTTCGGTTTAAAACTAGATAAGATTTATATCCACATTTCATCAAAAAATGTAATAAAATAAAATACAGATAAGCGCTAAAATTATATGAAGTAATTTGAAAATGTAGCGCGGGCCAGATAAAAAAGGTACGCGGGCCGCCAGTTGCCCATCCCTGCTATAGACAATAACATAATACTTAATCATGTGCTGAACTGCAACACATCGTTGGGGGGGGGGGGGGAGGGCTATAATATATTATAATCCTATACGTTTTAAGTTTTATCCAGACACCTTATACCGTAAAGTGTAAACGCTACAATATCATTTTAACAACTATATTTTCAAAATACAAAGATAATATAGCATATATAGTATAACGTGGGTACATAACTCGAGACAAATTTTTTTTTTTTGGGGGTGGAAATGTAATATATCTAGGGCCCCCAAATTTCCATCCAAGGACTTGATATATCATATTAAAGTATAATTATTATCTTAGATACGTATAAGAGAGCTTTGGCATATGTGTGTACCGAGGTGAGAGGGGGGGGGGTCGACTTTCAAAAAAAAAATGGTAATAGGAAAGCATTGCGCAATAGACGCTTCGTGTAATATCGTTAAATCGGTCACGATATCATAATATTATAATTATGATACAGTCGTTTCGCTTTTATATATAAAATACGTGGATTTGAATACAACACTCGGCAATTATACATAAATGTTTTGTAATATATTATACGATTTAGCTGAATAAAAATTATTTTTCCCTTCTTATTATTTGGCATTTTTACCGTTCGGACGATCGCGGAGTGTAAAGTCACGATTTTTGCCGATCGACTCCTATTTTCACTTTTAAATCCTTATAATATTATATTATAAATATTATAATCAACATTTGAATAAATTATATAATACGAATATTATTGCGGTTACTGCTGTTAATTTGTTCGACGTAGGTACTGTCTTATGACATTATATATCATTGTGAGTTGTTTGAAAAGACTTTGAGGAAATATAAAATTCTTGTTTACACAAATGCAAACACTGCAATAGTTTCGATGAGTAGATACTCGTTCGATCTTGTTGAAAACACGTGTCCCACGCAAGAAACAACCGTCTTGTGTACATATCATAAGCAAAGAAAACTGTACATTATACACAAGTGTTGTACCTATCGTGTCAGTTGATCGGTTCCGAGTTGACGTTCGTATTAACACGGGCGCCCTCGAATTCCCCGAAGACGCAAAGGCGACCTTTTCCCACTTGAATTCTGGTGGGAATTGTAGTGTTCTGCGAGCGTATATTATTACACGAGTATACCCACACGATACTGCGCAGACACCTCCTCGACCGGACAGGCGCACAGGTGGCTGTTCTGTGTACCTATCTATTATAACTCGCGTACAAAACAAATTATCGCATGTTTTGCATAATATTATAATTATATCACACGAAATGGACGATCGTATACGCGTCATTGTGCGATTGCGGTTTTATTTCAGAGGCGTCATTATAGGGAGACGCAAGTGCAGTGTGCATTCCTCTTTATTGTCTACTGCAAATTCGTTGTCGCGAAACCGATAAATGGACGCTTTAATAACACGAACATTTTTGTGGTTTTAGTCAATGATAACTGAGGTGATAATTTTTTTTGAATTTCAATTCTTCGCTTATATAACTACAGAATTTCCTTTTGATTGATCGTTTTCAAGAAATATACCTACTCGGGGCTACTCGTTTTCATCAGTATCAATGTTAAAACAATATAATATTGTATTAACATTTTGTAATAATTTTAAGACCTATTTTGCGAACAGCTCTGTTAGATTATTTAAATTTGTAAATTTTTTTTGGCATTCCACGCAAAACTGTGTGATCTTGCTTTATTTGATCGAATATACATGTCAACGACGAGAGACACCGCATTGAAAATGAGAAATAATATCCCCACTAATATTCTATTATTGCGTTGTAACCTATTAAATAACGAGTGTCGTTGTTGTCCGATTATATATTATACGAGTAATATACTCATATACACGACTATAAAGTAAAGTGTTTTTTTTTAAGACTTAGGTATAATATAACCATACGGCGAACGTGAATTTGTTGATTTTGGATTTTTTTTCATTTCCACAGACATTTTCGATTTTCTGTATACATATATTATATATTAAGTGAGCTTCTGTGCCGATATAGTATGTAATATACGAATTCAGTCGAGTTAACGGGGCGGCGCGGCGGCTCGCTCGACACAATTTATTTCCACTGACATTTTCAATTTTCTATATAATATAATAAAATAAAATGAGCTATACTAACAGCCTGTGGCATAATATAATGTGCACACACACACACGGAGGTCGTGTATGCGAAAATGTTCGGATAGGCGAGCCAAGTCCACCCTCGTAAAGTCGTTTTATATATATATAAATAGGACGTACTTCTGCAGTAGATGACGGTTTTTCAGGGTTCGCAAAGGGTGTTGGAAACCCCGAAATCCAAAAAAAAAAAACAATTAATAGGATTAGGCGTGCAGCGATTTGGTTCTCGATCAGTCGCCCCGAGGCCAACGCCGCCGCTGCAGCATATATAGTGACGTGAAGTGATTTTGAAATTATTATTTCTCGTCGTTGTCAATGTCGCGTGCGAGGTTATAACATTATTATTATTATAGTGTATAGTACTACCCACCCGTAAACGGTCGTAAACACGAATATAGTAATATGTATATCGAAAAACCGACCAAATTATTATTATTGCGTTCGATGTGCGCGTCGAAATGTACTGGTCGATGTATTTAAATTGGCTACAGGCATAAGCGTATAAATAGTGTTTGAAATTTGGGGAGGGGGACTGTAGTTTAGGTCTATACTTGATACTCATACGATTAGTGAAATTTTAGTTTTTGAGGGGACTGTAGAAATTCTAGGGGGCCTAAGCCTCCCCCAGCCCCCCACTCATTTGTGCATATGGCTATAGGTACACTGCACACTCGTGAGGTTGCTGTACAAGTCATTTTTTTTTGTTTTTGGCAATGGCCAACTCTCAGCATTCATTCACGTTTGTGTAGTGGCGTAACTGGGTAAAATGATTTAATCACCAAAATCGAAATCATATTATAACACCTATATGTAAGAGTAATCGTTTGTTTTTACACTGGAAGTCATTTCATTTGAGACAAATCATAGTATAGTTACCTCTTACCCGCCATCGTGGTTTCGTGAATCGTGTGAAGTAGGTAATATTAAGTAGGTAGGTAGATACCAGATATACAGGAGAATTCACAAAAAAATGTGATATAATACTTGTTTTAAAAAAATAACGTGACAATAATTCTGTAATCATAATTCATAAAATAATATTATTATTTTTGTGACCCAGATAATGCGATAATGTTGACAATATTTCAACATATTATTATTATTATTATTATTATTTAACATGAGAAACGTGTTATAAATACTATTATACTTATACACCATAATCTGAGGAAATATATTTTTATCTTATAAATGTATGTTGATGTTTATGTTAGCATTATTTCTTTATTTTGGAAGATTTAAAGATATATACTGTTGGCATATCTGGGAGTGGGGAAGGTGGAATTATATATTTACTCCCCTCCCCTCCTCAAATTATATTACTGTATTACAACGAATTTATTTTATAAGAGTATATTTTTCGCTTTTGATGATGAAAATATTATAATAATAGACCACGATAAAACAAATATTTTAACATTTAAGAAACAATTTTTTATTTTATGCTTCGAAATATCCACTCAAAGTTTTAAACCGACACTATATCCTCAAAAAATTAAATCTTTATTATAACTTTCTATTAAACGCAATCACCGCGTATGCTTCCGACTATAATCGCTGCAATTGCACCATTTTATGCCACAAATCAAACCTAGACGCAGACGTCTTATTTACTCACGACGAACAATATTGCAGAAACTGCTATAAGATATTGCACTCGTTATACCATTATAATAATAGTATTATATTATGTTTAGACCACCCAAAAAAATTTATCTCAACCAATTCTTGGCAATCCCAAAATCCCCAAGCAGGTTGAAAATAAACAGCCATCGTGACCACCTATATATATGCTCGCCCACGTAATCCTTTTTATCTAAGACCCTATATATAGCTAGAGGCTTCTCCAAATCAAGTTTATTTCAAAGTTAAACTGTTTTCAGTAAATACCTACCTACTAAATTACATACGTAATCGGGGCTCGGGAGCATTCACATATTATATTTTTTGTCTGATAAACCTTGGAACATCCCAAGCGTAAAAATCAAATTTGCCTTACACTTATTCCTGCAAAAGTCACATACGATTTTATTTTGCTATAATATTTGCGTATTTGCGCGGTTATCTGTTTAGTTTTGCTTATTTGGAATTGGAAGTGCTATTTTTAGGTATATTATCATGTACGAATGCAGAATCAATAATAAAACACCGAAGAATTTATTTTTTATTCACTCACCGTTTTATTCATAATTATTAGATTTTCTCAAATAATGAAGACATCTCGAAGAAGTATTTTACATTAATATTAATAAAATATTATCATGTGCCTACTATTAAAGGAAGTTAGTGTTCCATAAAATATAAATCACATAGATATCACAGTAAATTATCTCAGAGGAGTTATATCATAACTTTACTTTATAGTTACTTTATTATTTACCCAGTTACTCGACTTGGGGTTAGTATTGCACAGCGAGGTCTCTGGGAGAGGTCACTGTAGGGATAAATTTCAAACTTCACAACTTCTATGCGATAAAACCGAGTTAAAAATTAAAAGTAAACATAATATTATATTATAACATAATATTCGTTTTGTTTTTTTACATATATCCCAATGTTGAAAGTACTATTAATTGCACATATCTATTTTGGTACTTTCTATTGTACAATACTAAAGCACTTTTTTCAATGCAATCTAACATAATTGCACATAATTTGTTCACTTATTATTATACACCCAATTTCTATATGGATTGTGTTAACCAAATAAAGGAAAAACAAAAAAAAAAACAACAAATAATTTGGTCATCCGCTTTTCAAAAACCACAAAAATTGACTTGAGGAATATGTAAGTGTACATAATCGTTTAAGTAAAATAGATCGTCCTGTATAATAATATTAATAATTCTCATACGTCACTCACACGCGCCTGCGCATTCGCATTCGTCCGTGGTACAAAAACAACGGGGGCGGCGTCGGCGCGAGCGTAATCGACGTACGGTTCTAGGAAAATACTGTGCGATAGCTGCAGATGAGTCGGCCGGCGGATCTTTGATAATAATAATAAATAATTAAGAAAACAACAACAACGACTACAACAACAACAACAATCAACCGTAATACGAACCCCGAAACGGAACTATAAACGATAATAATATTTAATTTAAATTTTCAAGAACTCAAATTTAAATTCAAACCTTGTTTTTTTTCTCGAACGGTTTGGAGATTGAATTCGAAATCGAATCAATAGTTTAACTTGAAATTCTTCAAGTTTTATTTCAAACAAAAATATACACAGTTCAAACTTTTTAAAACGTATTTATAATAGATATTATTAATTATTTTAACGTTCTTCTGCACGTTCTTGGTAGGCACGTCTATACATAATTTAACATTTTAACGTATAAAAAAACATAATTATCGTATCGGACTTTTCTCGAACTGTCTGCGGTGCTCGAGTAGTACCCATCATCTCTAAATAATTGTATAATTGTTATCGCGGAAGTAACCGCAATGATATTTCGAATCGCGATACGGACAAAGCCATTCGTCGTCGGTGACGTGTGCGGATATTTTACTTTATTTTCAATCACACATTTTACGACAAACCAACGACACACACACGCGAAAAATTATATTGTTATGATGTGGCGATTACCGAGTGAGCGCAAACTGCTAGCGAGAATTGAGCGGGAAACCATAAATAATATTATAATAATGTGCGCCACCGCCCACCATCCATATAGTATAGTTTATTGTATTATTAAAATATCACGAACGCGATGGATGGATTTTTTTAATCGGAGTTGGGCAGAAAAACCGACGGTTAAAGTTTACGAGGATAATATTATAATTATGCGATTTGATTTAATTCCTGAATTTCATTAAAATATTATATAATATGCGTTCATTGAATTCGTCACTATTACAATATGGTCACCTAACAATAAAATAATATTATAATGTAATAAAACATTTAAAATACATTTCATAACCAACTAAAAAGAATCAATCGTGGATAATGATGATTGCATTTTTGGCGTATACGATCAATTTTTATTTATTTAATGCCTATAATCCAATCAAATTGTATTCGTTTTAATATCATTTTAATCCAAAAGTATACTGACAAATTCGATGAATTTAATTATTTATCGAAACGCCCTTTATCAATTTGAAACTATAATAATATTGTACATTATAACAGGTGTTATTAAACTTAAATCATCTGTTAATATTGTAGAGTTTTTTGCCAACACTGCAAATATATTTTAATGTATTTATCTATACTGCGAAGTGCGAATACCAGGAATAAAATAAAACGTCAAGTCGAAAAAAAAACGTAATATTATGTATATTATATACCTCTGCTGCTGTTTACTATTGTTGTTGTTAATGAAAATCGATATTACCAGAATTGACGTATGACGTCGTCGTCGTTTATTAGGTATACCTACTATTATTATTAGGTCAATATTGCGGAAAGAAAACCACCCATAATAATACAATCATAATAACATTATATTTGTACTGTACACATAATAATATTATTATTAAATAAATCGAAACGATATCGGGGCGGCGATACGTTCAAAATAATAATATAATATTATTGTACAATATCACATTAGATTATTATGGTTGCAAAGGCAGGCGGTGGCGTGTCGTATCGGAATTCGAATACTATAACAATTATAATAATAATACACTCGTCACAAGTCCGTGCATATTAGATGCAAAAGTCACGACCTGCATTATTGTATATTATGGAAAAAAATCATTTTTTTTTTTTTTTTACCTTTTCACGTTCCATAAAAATATATACGATCAAATGTTTTCGATTTTAATAATACAAATAGTCGAGTTGGACCCTGCATATCATTACAATAATGGCCGCCCCATACTCGCAACACGAGTTTTGTAGTCGTAAATAGTAGAAATAATAATCGTAATAATAATTATTAATAATATAGGGTCGGTTAATGTTTTCGCCGGCTGTTAGCGTCTTTTGAAAAATCTAACCGATAGGGTCGAGACACAGAGTTCAGTGCCGAAACAATAGGTTATTTATCAACTAGGGGTTGATTGGTGAAAGCGTATTGCAAGTATAGTTCTGCAAGCACGGTCAAAATATAATTTTTAAATAATCAATTTGCAGGTTGGGTAGCAGGTCGTGGGTATCAAAAACATGGTTAGGCCCGGTACAAATATACCATATTAGTATAGATTAAATTAGGGCTGTCGGTATTTAAAATTTCCATACAGGTATCAATGGTATAACCGGTATACTATAACGGTATTTTCGGCGATTACCAGGACAATTGAGTATTCATTCTAAAATTAATGACGGGGTTCTCTGATCTAGAACGCCGGCATTATGTGGATTTGTATATAATACTATATTATTCAAATTCTGTGATTCAATCCCACTTTAAAAACCACTATAACTGTCTATAACGAAATAAATAAAAAAAACTAATCGTTATTTTTTTTTTTGCATACAAATATTATAGATTTAAAAATTTGTCATTGTACGGTATATTTGATAACAACGGTAATCGCCAAATCACCGGTACTCATACCGTTTAATTGTCGAATATCAAAAACTCCATCAGATCTTGATTAAATCGTAATAATATTATATTGTCATTCTATTAAAAATCAAACTGATCGCGAAGAGTCCGCGGACACCACCAGTGGTTCCGGTTTACTGTTCGGCTGCAGAGGGTCATCTGTCTTAATCTCGCGTTAAGGGGCCGTTACAGTGACATTTGTTGTCTCCGTCTTACAAGTGCGTAACATAGCAAATTGTACGTTCAGCAAAACACGTTTATCTCCCGTTAGCTTATAAATCAGAGCGAATTGGCCTCTTATACAATTTAAAGGTAAGATTATTATCTAGACAATGACATAGGCTTTTTATTATAATTTAATTTTAAAGCGAGTTATGTGTATTTTAAAATTGTAAACTGTTTGTACATCTTAAAATACTCATAATCCGCTTTAAAATTAAAATATAATAAAAAGCCTATGTGTCATTGTCTAGATAATAATCTTACATTCAAATTTTATAAGAGGTAAATTAGCTCTAATTTTTAAACTATAAAGGGAGAGAAACTTGTTTTGCAGGGCGTAAAATTTGCCATGTTACGCACTTGTGAGACAGAGAAAACAAGTGTAACTTGTAACGGCCCCTTAACTCGTCTGCAAGTTAACTTGTAGGCATATGGACGCGACAAGTCTCGAGTCATCGGGTCCGGGGAACAGTTTCAGCAAACGATTACGACCATTACTTCATCGGAATAATATGAATAATTATAATAATATATATAATACGACGTAGGCAAGACACGGACCTGCAGTACTCGTTGAACGTCAACACGTAACACCGGTCGTCGATGCAGGCCACGCTGTTGACGTCTCTGTGCTTGGACGCGAACAGCTCGTCGGGCATGTCCTCCTTCAACCGTCCCTGTTTCGTGTGTTCCGGCCTGTAGTACCACAGCAGCGACATCATCATTTCTCCTGCGAACAAGCGTCACCATTAACGGTTAAAACGAGTATTCAGTACATATAATATTCATACGATATATTGTTATTATTATTATTCGGGCGCGTAGCCAGGATTTTATTTGGGGTGGGTGCGTGGGTGTTTTGAGTTTAAATATAACTCGTCGGGGGCTCACACACTATACTCTCCGTTGTATAGTCATCGTCATCAGTCTTCATAATATTATATACTACCTAATAATATAATATCGAATACGATGACCACATAATATTTGTTTAGATATCTGAAGCGTAATATAATATATTTATAGGTAGTAAATAATATATTTTTGAATAAATATGAGGGTGTTTCAATATCCGAAACACAGCCCTTGTAATTATTTTGGAGCAACACTTCCTGCAAAAAGAATCGATATAATTCAACTGGTAGAGGGTGGTCGATTTGCACTTATGGGTAGATGATAGGGGTAATATGGCGTAGTACGCCTAAATCGGGGAAAGTCGAATTATTGCACTCGGGTATTATTATTTAGTATAAAAACGTTTGACGCAGCGTCAAACAACTATAAAGTGACCCAATAACTCGTTATTTTTATTAAGCCATGTTAAATCAATTGAATTCGAGGAAAATGCTTTCAATTTATTGTACGGTGAAACCCATAATTATTATATCCAATCATTATTCTTATTATAATATATATTATTATCCAATATTCGAATGATGAAATTGGTTTTAATTGGTTATTTTTCTTTTGTCTATTTTTAGAATATTACGATTTCCAGCAACTTGTCAAAGCAAACTTTCTCCAAGTATTCAAAATTCACGGAAAAGCAATCACGTAAAACGAGCAACAATAACAAGTTTGTTGTTTTCAACGAATCGCTAGCCTTTGACAGCGATACGAAATCGAACCGAAATATTTAATAATACCCATATTATTATAATGATAAATCATTAATAATTATAATGATATCGTAGTATGCAATTGCAATCACCCAACAGTAGGTACCGGGGAATGATTTTTAATCATTTAAGCCTATGAAATAAGTAGGTACCATATGTCTTGTATCGGCTTTTATTCGGTATGTATATGTTATGTTGTCGTGGGTAATAGACGCGTATTTGCTGTTGGTACACGTTATGAACACGGTATAAGGTGATAGGTATACAGCACACACTTTCCGCGGTGTTTCGTGATGTCGAGTTTACAAATTGTTAAGAGAGTAAACGCGTAGACGCGATTAAGTTTTATACGAAAATTATACATTTTACACAGTTACGCGTTCATTTTCACACCGACGACCGTCTTAAACGTTTATTTTTTTTCATAAAATGTTCATCATAATTCAAGCGTTGAATAATTAACAACACATTATACATAACGATTATAATTACATATACCATTAATTGTAGCATTACTTCAAAGTTTATAGAAAAACATAATAAGACAATATAATAACCCGTTTTAAATAATGATTAAAGAAAAGACGGATTTGCTATTACGTTTTTATGCCTATATCCGAATAGTTTTAGCCGGTTTCGAACCAATCCACAATGCGACATGTCCGTGAAATGTGTAGGCATCTCTTAGTGTCGGGTAATTGGATTTAGGTTTCATTAAAACACAACCGTGGTATCGACAAATACAAATCCTCTGTCTAATTATAAAACAAACGCCAAAAGCTCGAGTAAATTCGATCATTAGCTTTTTTTTTTTTTTAACACGAGTGCAATATTGGACTATAGCTTGGTAGGTACCTAAAATAAGTGCAATTCGACCTCCTACATTCTAATAGTAGCAGGTGATGTGTTCAATCCAACTTTTCTTGAGGGGGTGTTTTTTTCCTCCTTACGAATTATTTTAATTATATTATATTTAACCCGTCGTTTGTAACGTGGTAATGTATTATTTAAGTTATATCACTGCCCATTTTGTGTAGGTTTATTTATTATATTAAGCATATCCATAAACCTCCAGTAAAACATAATCTAAAAAAAGCCGAGGTAAAGCTTCAGGTAACCGATTTTAAGTGAACGTCATATTATCACAGAGTAAGTCACTAACTATGTGATGGATGTGAAGAATTTGAATTCAATGATAAATAGATGTAGGTATACGACGAAAAACGACTCTGAGCCAGTTTAACTTTTTTGAAAACAGTTATTTTAGTAATAATATACACACTTTGATAAATGTACGTAATGCCCCCGTAATTTAAAAAAGTTCTGAGAAATTTCTACTTTTGAACCTTCATATATAAAGCACAAACTACATCAAATTTTCTACCAGTAACCTCAAACAAAGTTGACGATCGAAGCATTTTTTGTAATAGAAATATTGCGCCTTCAGACAGTAAAAAAAATAATATATATATAAAAACAAATCGTTGTAATGCGCTTTGCTCAGCATCTAAAATAATTGTGATTTAAATCGATTTTTGATTGTTAGTACTCATCTAACGTAATCCGTACTTACACAGTGAGAGACATTGATATATGCGACATATAATATAATTCATATAATATGTATAAATATGGGGAGATAAACATTCAAATTTATTAATTTTGAAAGTGATCATAACTAACACAGATTGCATAATAAATAATATGTTTTGGTAATATAAAAGGTATAAAAACAAGATTGAGGAATTCTAACCACGCGTCCAATGAAGTAAAAATGTAAAAAAAAACCACGACCAACTTGGTTAAGTTCAAGAATAATAATATATACGATATTATATATTATTATAAAACTCACAAACAAAAAAATAATAATAATAATAATACAAATTATTTAATATGTATACCTACAAAAAAAAAAAAAATAAAACTACCTATTCGAATTCAAGCGGAAGTCTTCGTAATAACAGAATACATAATATTATATTGGTATAATATTATAGGTTGAGTCTGCAGGTACTCGTAGGTATTGCAGTAAAGTCACGCCACCGTAATAATAATAATAATAATATAGAACTTGTATAAACTTACCGTTGACGGGGTCTTCCCACAAGTTGGCGATTTTGGCGATGAACGGCAAGTCGTTTTTCCGAGAACCCGACTTGAGAAGCACGCAGTCCCTTGCGTATATGGTGTCCCCTTGCATGTGACGCATGCACGGGTAACATTTCCTCAACACTGGTGTATCGTCGTTCTGCGACAACAACACAATGTCAATAATATTATAGAGGTAGTCGTCATTAATATAGTAATACTATTACATCCCACCCTCGGAATCGTCGACGATATTGCGTACACAACACCAGCGAAACCTCCCGCCTGACGGACACCTAAGCGGACATTTTTTTGCCAACGACCTATACGGATTTTAGCGACCACCGAAAGAGTCCGGTATTTAGAGGTTCAGTTGCGCGGCGATTGGTGACCGTTTTATAGTAACGTACACGTTTACCCGGAATAGTCTTATGTGACCAGACACTTACGGTTTTTCGTGTTACGTTTAAATGGCGTGCAAAATATAGAATGCTGCAGGAAAAAAAGCCGCGGGAAACGAAACTGACTTATTTATCCGTGCAATTAGTTATATCAAGTTTTGTTAAGTATACAGCAATCGAGTCATATAATAATATATACAGTATTATAGCACCACAGATTAAAATATGGACTAAATAACATTTTAGGCAACGCCAGTGTAATCATTTATCGCTCGTTATTTGGATTTTATAATAATTTGAACTCAACTCACTAGTACAGCATAGTAGTCCGAAAAATTATTTTCCAGCTCCTCAGCTCCACCTGCCGCCATGCAAAAATATAGTTAAGTGATTCAAATCCAAATAATAATGGACGATAAATGATTACATTGCGGCGTCGATAGTGTTATTTTATCTATGCTTATGCCTATCAAAGATTTTATTTTGTACTCCCAAAGTAAGTGTAGTAGATTAAAAAAAAAAAACTACAGATAGGTATAGTGCAAACGACTAAAATATACAGTAGTATATAGGCACCCTGCGGTATAATATCTAAGACTATTATATACCGTGTGTCCACGAAAACAAGGTTAACTGTATAATCAAATTACTCGCATTACTCAGTACCCTATACACGTTTTTGAATTCTGTTTGCGGGACACGAAACTAGACTATTAGATCATCAATGTCCCGCAGACAGAATTTTCCGAAATATGTATAGGGCGCTGAGTAAAATGTAGGTAACCGAGTTATAGAGTTTAGCCAGTTTTCGCGGACACGCGGTTTATATAATAATACGTCTTCACCTACGCGAGACACTGAAACTTTGGCACTTGACTTTTTACATTTGAAAAATGTTAATAGTTTTTTAGGAGAATTTTAATTATTTTATGCATTAAAAAAAAAAAAAAAACACCCTGCAGAGTGTATATATAAGTACGCATACAGTATAAAGCGTGTAAGACATAAAATAAAATAAATTTCAAGATAATATTATGCTGTTTATTCACGAAATATATTGTTATTTTTATTTAATTTATGTTATTTGTTGGCATTTTGCTTAAGAAATTTTCCGGGAACATAATATTTTCTAATTTGAGATAAAAATATGTTGTGTAAAATAATTTCAGTCTCGCGCATTTATCTCCGGTCTCCAGTGTTTCATTATTTCTCAGTTATTGATTCGAAGTAGGTACCTACATCTGACAATGAAAATATTTAACCCCAATAAAAATAATTGTAAATTGTGCTACGGAGGTTAGTAATTTAAAATACTGGAATAATTTTTATTTTTTTTTAGCGTGTCTTTTTATTTCTACTTGCAGTAAAATATACTTTCTAAACGGTGGTCATGGATTTTTACAACATCTTAATAAATAATAACTTGTTTGTTGAACTTTCTTAAGAATGTTTATTTTTAATGAATACCTATAAAGAATTTGCTAACTTTTGTCAAATATTATTTTAAATCGCATTTTCGCTGTCGCGTACATTGTATTATTTTAAGAAGTAGGTATCAACAAGGTAAGTTGTTTAAAATCTAAATTTGTTTTTATCTTATGTTTACCTATAGATAAAAAGAAATATTTTTATTTAAAGTTTTGGCTTAACCCCGTTATCATTTATAACTTATAAATTATAACTAACGTATATAGCCATAGGGTTTTTTTATTACGTACCTCTAGGTAAACGGGACGTTTGAACGGTTTTCCCTGCCATATCCAACCGTTAGACCACCTGGGCGACAGTTCTTGGTTCTTGAGCCGAGACAGCTGAGCGAACTCTTCACGCATCTTCTGTTCCAGTTCCCTTTTCATAGCGTCTGGTAACAACAATAACCATATATTATATTGTGATGAATGAAATAAAAAAAACCCTTCCGCATCGAGCGCGAGATCCAATATAATATTATACTACCTACTACCATAAACGTACACGCATCAGTCCAGTGGCGTGAAAACGTATTATTAATTTAAATAATTGTTCAAGGGAAAATTCAATATCCATCCACTCACCCGCCCACTGAAAACCCGATAAAGGTATTATTTACTGTTTTGACTCCCTACATCGTAGTAAGCACCAAAATACTATAATTAATATTACCCTTTAAGGGCCACCCACTCCACCCATAAGAAATTCGGTGGCAGCTGACTTACGATTACCCCTTCGTCATACCACTGCTGTACGCACAAGGCCCGGATTTAGAACGAGTGCCGCCCTCCCCGAAAAGTAAAGTAAATTATTAATAATAATTTACAATATTTTCAGCCGTCCTATGCCAAAATCTGTCCCTGGCCGGTGCCTTGTACAATAATAATCGTCAATCATTAACTTACCGGTCATTTCTTTCTTATTCCCTCCGTTCTTCCGGTCTTTTCTGCCTTTCTTCGTTTTCTTTGAGACGCCTTTTTTCTTGACAAAAGCCTCGGTGATCATGTCGTCGCCGTCGCTCTCGTCCGTCAACACCGACCGCAATATCTCTTCGGTCATGCACTCATCCAATTTCTCTTGATCGGATTTGACCTCCGTCGACTTGATACTGTTCTTCCGGTTGACAGCAGTTACCTGCTGCACCGGTTCGTCTTCGGTCGATGTCGGCGGTGTAGTGGCAGTTGCAGTCATCGTCGTCGTCGTCGTCGCCATAGTCGTCTCTTCTACGTTTTCCTTACAGTCGTCGTTGTCTTTGCGGACGACAACGGCGACCGATTTGTCGTCACCGTTACCGCTCACGTCTTCGGTTTCTTCTTGGATTTTCGATTTTTTCGCCAAGACGATCTGCATGGGATTGGGTTTCTTCCTCTTCGCGGATCCCTTCATCACGATTTTGTCGCTGTCTACGTTTATATTATAATAACTGTTGTTGTTGTTGTTGTTGTTGTTGCTGATGGTGTTGTTATTGTTAATGGTGTCGTTGTTGTTGACCGGTGGGTTGCAGTATACAGTAGTAGTCACTTCCAGGCGTTCTCGCGGCTTGGTCGACAAGTCGATGGTCTGATGAAGACCACAGTCATCGTCGGCCGCTGACGCGGAATCCCCGTCCTCTTCGCTGGCCATGTCCACCTTGAGCATGAAATACGATTGTGGCTGTTGCTCGTCGTCGATAGGTTCGACTTTCGGCACCACGACTTCGTGGTGGTCGATCGGCTGGTCCAGGCCCAGTACGGACTGGCTGAGGACTTTGCCGATGGCCAACAGGCCGGTGGTATCGCATTTCTCTTCGGCGACGATGTTGTTCCACTCGGAGGTGGGGTTCTTGGCGGCCAGCATAGCTGGGGACTGGGGTGCCAGGTGCTGCACGGAAGCGCGGGCTGGGCTCAGCGGGCTCATGCACCACGGGACTTGCTTGCATGGGCTGCCAGAGTTCGCGGACCGCGGTGGTCCGGGAACGCCGGCGCTACCCCTGGCTGGGCTCGGCGGGCCATGGGCCCGCGGAGGCTCCTGCGGCAGTGCCAATGCCACAGGTGGAAGTGTAACTACTGTCGAATGATGTTTTGGCCCCTTACTGACTGCACCAGTAAGCGGGCCAGTATGTCCGTTTTTTGGATTGGGACACGATTGCATTGGGCACGGACACGAATGGTACGTTGGGTCTACGGCGTAGGTGCGGGGTGGTGCGGGCGAGTAGCACGACGGCCCTGGCGGCGCACCGTACGGGGAGTAGTAGAGCGGCTGCGGCGCAGGGTAAGCGTCCGGCGGCGGCAGGGACTGTTGCTGTTGTTGCTGGTGGTGGTGCTGCTGCTGCAGGTGTTGCAGGTGTTGCTGGTGCTGCAGGTGTTGCTGGTGTTGTTGCTGCTGCTGCTGCTGCGGCGTCGGCGGCGGCGGCTGTTGTTGCTGCGTCTGCTGATGCTGCTGCTGTGGCGGCGCTGACGGATGGTGGTCCGGCCGGTCGCCACCAGGCCTGGTGATGGCCACCAACATTTGCTGCTGTTGTCCCGCGGGCGAACCAGTCGGCGCCGGCGGCTGTCCGGGAGGCGGAGGCCCGTAGTACTCGTGATAGTACGTGGGCGGTCCACCGGCCTGTGCGTAAGGTGGTGCAGCCGGCGGCCGTCTGTGGTGGAACGGTATGTGGTGGTATGGCGAACTACGGCTGTGATGGAAGTAGCCGGGCTGGTGGTGCGGCCCTCCGGGGTACGCGCACGGATTTGGCGCCTCCGGAAGGTAGTGGTGGGACGGCACCTGAGGTGGTGGGGGCGGCGGGTACTGGAGACTGGCCGACGCCGGTGGCGAAGGGTAGTACGACGGCAGCGGAGGCGGATGGTACGGGCCCTGCGGCTGGTACCGATAACCGGGAGGTGTCGGCACCGACGTCGATCTGACCGGCACCACTTCGGTGTCGGATGACTCGGCGGGCGGTGGTGCGGCAGTGCCGGCCGACGACGGCGGCGTGGGCACCAACGGTGGAGCCAGCGACTGTTTCACGTGTGACGGATGGTGCAAGTGCATGTGGTGCGGCACCAGGTGGTGTGTGATCAGCGGTCCGGCCGGTTGGTAGTAACCTGCGAATCAATAACAAAAAACACGGTTATAGAAACGTTATAATTTTATCGTATGCACAAGCACATAACCATTAACCATAGTTCAAAACCATAATCACCAAATATATATAGGTATAATATAATATTATGATACAGTGAAACCTCCTCTATAACGGACTACGGACACCATATAAAATTGAAAAAACATGCACAGTCGTTTGGGGAAAAACAAAACTATATGGGTAGAGAGATATTGATAGAATTCGGTAATAAATATATAATATACAATACATAATAATTTAATATATTATCATATTGAGTTAAGAGTTTATAGATTTAGAAAAGCCTTTGACTGCGGAAAGAACATTTTAAAATCTTAAAATCCCTAAAAAGAATAACACTTAAAAATAAAACGATTAGGCATTTTTCCGGAAATCACGGTTCGACGTGTGAACTCGACAAACCAACCACATTATATCGAATAATTTTAATCCGCTCGGGCACGAGTGTTTTATTACCAGTTAAAGTTGCGGTTAACCACATTCGGGACAACAAATCGGTGGTGTATGGTTGTGTGGAGCAAAACACGATCGGTATAAAAGCGCTATAACAATAATTATTCTCAAAGAGACGATCGAAGACGATATACATTTAGCCATATAGGTAAGCATATAATAATAATAATAATATTATAATAGTTAGTATTATAATTTATAACACACTGCACAATGCACTTATCGCATGGTAATACAATTATATCCTTTAATATAATATATCGTACGGACGGAATAAGACTTTATTGTTATCCAATTACATATTATACGCAGAACGCGGATCAATATAATAAATATTATTATGTTGTTGTAGTTGATGTAGTATAAATGGGAGATTTTCTGCATAGGTATAATATAATAATAATAATAACAATATAATATCAGAGAGTATGATATTATTATTGGGTCGTGCGTAGATGACGTACCTGCCTATATTAAACGTAATAATATTATAAACTTATTGTACACGAACTTATACAATATAATATACTGATCAATACTCGCGGCTGCGATGACAACCGTTGTCGGCCGTATGTTTATTTAATAAAATAATAATAATAATAATAATAATGGAGAATTCGAATGATGTTTAAATAATATTATTATGTTATAGAAGAAGAATCGTACTATCGGAAACGACAACGGGTTTAGAAAAATAATATTAAAACTCATATGTGTTTCTCATAGAGAAGATAATATTATCGACGCCACGACTACCTAATATTGTACTGCGCAGGGACACTGGTCCGACGACACTTCAACAATAATAATAATAATAATGATATAATATTATTGTACACATTATAATATGATTATAACATTATACATCGTTATCGTTTTGAAATTGGGCGTTGGTATTTCGATGACGGCGCGTCAAAAAGTCGTGGACGAACAACAACTATTGACCAGGACCGGTTTTTTATTTTTTTTAATCGGCGACCACCGAGTCATTAGTGTAATATATTTTTTTTATTACATTAGAAATATTATATACGTATGTTATTATGTACACGTTTTGTGTGGCGTGTGTGTGTGTGGAGGGCGATCGAAATTATGACGACGACAACGACGATTGTTTTTTTTTTTTTCGTCCTTCCGCCATAGTCGATAATCGACCACTGCAGTGATTACAATTAGCAGCTGCTGCACCAGTGATCTCGTCCCGGCTCGGTGACGACGACGATAAAATAATAATTAAAATAAAATATACAATACGACGCAATTGTGCGGGCGCGACGTGGCGTTTAAACGGTCGTATTATTACAAAATATAATGCCATGGTTAAACAAATCGACAAATTTCATCCCCCTCGTCGATTGTTGTTAAACGATTTGACGAGGCCTCGACAGTGATTATATTTTTATGGGATACATCATGGGAAGCGACGAGTTTCGAATGACAGCCGCGTGTAATGTAGACGCGAGTAGAGTTAAAATTCGGGGGGTGCTAAATTATTATTATTGAAGCCTGCAGGCAGACCGGACCCCATCTTCGAAGTTTCATTAGAGAATATAATATATACGTAAGTCTCACATTTGTACGTGGGCTGAAATTGGGATTGGGGCTCTTAGCAGCATTAGTTAGCACCCCTCCCGCTAAAAAAAAATATAGTTTAAGATTTTAGTTCCACCCCTAAAATCTACTACTATACTTGTGCACTACTTCAAAGTTTCACAAAATACCAGCTATACCATACTTTTAAAAATACAAAATATTAATTCATAATATATATTATATAATACACCTACGCTTAAATTTAAGTTATATATTTTACTCAATAAATAAAAATCTATTGGTACCTATTAAAAAAAATGTATAGCAAAATTTTGCGAATTTAGACAAACACATTTTTAAACGTAATCAATGAAATTCACTGATATAAATGATTATAGGTACACAATTAGGTAGTTCGTCATCTTATCAGCAGATTCCTAACACTTGTTTATTGTTTAGGTACCTACACGAGACTAATAAAGTTTACAAGTGTTACATGTATTTTGTTAGTCTTGAAAAATTACTATTATTATAACATAACCAATGATTTTTAATAAACCTTAGTTCTACTATTAAAACCTGCAGTATTGTGAAAATAAAATTGTTTGAACTGAACACAAAAAAAACAAACCAACTCGAGATAAAACACTATAGCATACGAATCTGGGGTGTATATAATTTGTAATTAGGGGTGAAGTTCATCCACTAGCACTCACCTATGAGTACCTATGCGCGTGTAAGCACATACTAATATATATATATGGGTATTAAATTAGTGAGATAATTATATACGAGCAAGTGAGCAACATTAAGGGTACTTAAAGCAGCATTTGGGGGGTCCTTAACAGACCACCGATGATTAGGTGTGAGTTAAATTCGTATGCGGCACACATACATGTATAATATGTATTACCAATAATCATATTGTAATATTATAATATTAAATCAATAAGGAACCGAAGTATATAGTATAGGTAAGCCATTACAGAATTCGAGGGGTCGCTGCGGATAAAGTTAGAGTAAACTGACATTTTATCGAAAATGCATTTATTGTTGCATGGTTATTATGCATTTATTATTGGCATTATTATGTTATTGCGTAAATGTGCTAAGAACATCATAGCTGCAAAGTCTGAATAGATTCGATGAAGTTTTGATTCGTGGTTGCCGAAAATTTATATTACATGGAGAGGAGTGTTATTACAAGAATTTATCATCAATATCGTATAGTGGATAAAATGTGGATTGTGCAGTGTATAAGCTCCCTGGAATGGAGTGAAAATGGATTTTAACACCATAATATTGTAGATTGTAGAACATTCCAACAGCCATATTTATCCTCTTATTTTATATTACATATTGAATATCAAAAAAGTTACTTTGCTTTTTAATCTTTAGTTACAAAAGTAGCGTTTGCGAACAATCTCAAAAATGTCAGTCATTAACTTGAGCCGTACACCCCCCTTCAATCATAATTGGTAGTCGATTCGATCATAAATGAAATTAAAACCAATCAAACGGGTGTACAGAGTCTCGGCGTTACTTGGACGCGACAACAATACAAATTACAGGTGATATGATATAAAAACGTGCGTTTTACGTTAAATAAAAAATTATATACCACACGGTCATCGTCGTAAATATAAAATGTACACATTTCCTCGTCGCGGCCAACGTCACGGCCGCTCTGTATAATAATTGTGACTAATAATATTATATATATTATATTATATCATTACTGTTCGCGCGACATTTTTCAACATTATTAATAATACGTATATGACACGACGGGTATAACAATATTATTCACAAAAGTTCGGCGAGTCCGAAGGGGAATCCGAGATACACGACGACGACGACAGTCTGCGGATAATACGTTGGTATAATTATTATGGTAACGGTAAGTCGACCGCCGAAATCCGAAACAACTCGACCGTTAATTCTCGCGCCCGCCGTATAGACTCGCGTCGTTTCACGTCGTACCTATACATTATTATTATTATACGTATCACCTCAGCAGTGAAGTCGTATTGCTAAAAATACGCCTTATAGGTACTTATACTATTTTATTGTCTTGTGTACATATGAACTTCAAAGTTAGGCATGTGTATTATTCGTGGGGTGTGATTGGGGTGGTTTAAACATTATGTAATATAATATATGTATAGGACACGCAGGGGCGGATTGGGCCACTGTGCTACTGTGCAATTGCAAATATCAAATATATATATTGTGTTGACCATGTTGGTATCCACTCGGGTCAACTAAACTTTAGATACCATAGGGCCCTCGTTTTTATGAAAAATTCATTATTTTTTAGAAATTTCCTGCAAATGATTTTCAAGTAAAAATGCCGTTTCATACATCAGAGAATTTAAAACATTTTATTTTGCATTCTTATCAGTTTTGGGATTTTTGACCAATAATTATCGTAATTTTTAGTGCACATTTTTACATGATATACATTTTTAGATTAAACTAAATTGGAACCTAATTCAAAACATTTTGCTCCGACCATTCATAATTTGTAGATGGCACTATTTATGATTTCGATACGTCGGTCACGTATTTATCTATTTACAGATTAACGGCCGTTATATATGCGTCCGTGACTCAGACCAATAAGAATAGCAATTGCTCAGTTGGTGTTACATCATAATCGCGTTTATTTCGTATTTTTGTTTCCCCAAGAATTGTTAAAATAATTTTTTGTTAATTTTCAAGGTTATTCAAAGGATTTTTGATATTTTTAGAGCATTTTTGGATAGATTTTAGGGCATTTAATCCCGGGCCCGTGGTTCGTTGGAACTATTCATCCGAAATTTGATTTTAATATATGGAAGTGCTTAAAAAAAATTTACTGCTTAAGCCTTTAGAATACCAACAAATTTGTTTCAACTTGAAAATATGTAAAAGAAAAATATGGCTGTTGCCAATGATCCAATACAATCATTATTGAGATCACTGATCAGTCGCTTCAAGTACAACTAAATAAATAGTTGTAAATAAGTTTACTATGAGTTACCTACTTAAAAAATTAATTATTCATTAAATATTGCGTACCTAAGTAAAAATGATCCATATATCTATCACATTTATATTTATACTCTAAGTACTATCTATGATTTATGATTTAAAGTACAATAAAAATAACAAACATATTAATAATATTACCACTAATAAATTTTAATTTTAAAAACATTTATCACCTGTTGATCGTGGTGATTGGTGAGTAACCAAAAGTCAAAAATAAGGTTCTATAAGTTTAATTTGTAATAGTATAGGGCAGATTTTTTTTTCATTAAAAGTGGGATGACTGTGTTCCAGTCCACCCCTGAGGCCATGGGTAGTTGATTAATGATTTGGTCGAACCGTGCTAACTATAAAACCCGACCTAGGAGAGGATCTGCAGTGGCCAATTCAACTCTACAAACCATGGAGAATGGAGATGGATATAAGCAATTATACTCGGTGTTTCTAACAAGATACCGAACGATGTCCGTAATTTCTTTTAGACACAAAAATTTGTTACCTAAATATTTTTTAAGCTCCTGAAATGATATGCTCAAATATGAAAGAAGAGTAAAAATATAAAAAGAGCCGTATAAAATCCACTCTCTAATCCACGACGATTCATCGTTAATCGCATTCTCGTATTCGTCGTTATATATGAAAATAATAAAATAATAAATAAAGTTGTTACAACACGTATAACAATATTACCTACATTATTTACTATCGTAAAACCGTCAAATCGAATTATTTTTTAGCGAGTTCCGAGAAACTAATTATTTTGAGTACACCTACAACGGCTGGCGCCTCATAGCTCTTATCCGCACCGATATATGCGCTCGCATGACGACTTCATGCGGTTTTTTCGAGAACTCGCACGACCGAGTGCACAATTTCTTCTAATAAAATAATTATTAATAATATAATACACGTAAGTAAGTTTGCGTGTTTACACTATTAACAGTATAAAACCATATACGGCCGCCGAGACTGAAGACGACAGCTGCATAATATTGTATTATTACATATTATCGTGCTACAACGGCCAACCACTGTATAAAATAATTCTCTCTTTTTCTCGATCTATACATATGGGTAATAATAATATTATTATAATGTGTTGCGCTCGTCCCAAGACGATATTATAATATCAAAAAATATATCCCATCAGAATTTAAAGCAAGTCTGCAGCGTTTCGCAATGCCCGACTAGGAGATAGCTGTATACACGTCTGTATATTTTTTGTTTTCATACAATATTTGATTTAAAAAAAAATATTTTTTAACACATAATAAATTGTTGCAATTTTTATTTCTCAAAATTGTATCGAATAAGCTAATAAGGTATACAAATTTCATTTGATGAATAATTATGATGCTACTGGGTATGGAAATATTATTAAAAAATGTATATAAAATGAGTACCTATATACATTTAAAAATTATTTGAACGACTTTCGTTCAAAATATTTATTCTAATCGCTCACGACCCGCGAGTAGGCTTCACCGCAGCGATACTTGCGTATATTTTAATTATTTGTTTGAGGATTGCTGGTTCGGCTTTAACCCACGGGTTAGGTCGAGTTCGATTATTTTTTTTCAATAGGGACGCGCAATGCATTTCTCAAGTGTCCCCCCTTTTTATTTTTCCAAAACGAGCTTACATATTGTAATGTATATATTTACCGTACATACTTGGCCACGTAACAAGTCTTCGTAAAGGCGATGGCACTCGACTACACGCGCCGACACCGAGGCCGGTGTTCTGCCCTCGTCGTTCGTCATATTATTATTAATGACGTACGGTTAAGTATTATCGTTATTGATGACTCCCCGTATGGGCAGACAATTTTTGGCGGGACAATTTACGACCAGCGATCTTGTACAAACGGAGTCGAGTTACACGGCGGGTGTGCCTATCGTTGTAGTTAGAATTCAATACTGAATATGTCATTATTACTACACAAACTGACGACGACGACACCGGTTGACGCATGCGGCTTAATCGCAATCGATGACACATCCGTTTTGTCTTGTCATTCGAAATACGCACGGCGACGACGATTTATAAATGGACTGAGCCCGGCGGTTTATTAGGAGATGTACAAACACAATACGTTCTCTCGAAACTAAATAATATTAAATGAATCAATACGCTGCAGCCGGTAGTATTAGGTTAGGTACCTAGCTATAATATATTATTATATCAAACGGTAATAATGGTATAATATACATATTATTACTATATTAGTGTATAGGTATAACTATAAATAGCACGCGTATAAGGGACATATAATATATTATATCATAGTCCTTTGCGGGACGGAGGTGCGCTTATATTTATACATTATACAGCGTGTAACCCACCTCGTATACCTGCCTTACCCAAAATAATGTATATATCTACCAAATACCAATGATTCTCCGTTTTGATTGCTCGCAAACCCTGCACCATCACCTTCTCGATTTCTCATCCCCGTTAATTTCGCACTCGAACAATCACACCTATATTACTATTGTTATCGTCGAGACGACGATTTATAGCGAAATCGATGGGGTTACGAGAAAATTATGCGTTCACGGTTAATTAACACCCGTATACCGTATACCCGGTATTGAGGTCCGAATTCGAGTGTTTCGGTGTTTGATTTTACGCTCAAATTGTAAGTCCGATTCACTGCTGCAAACGTAGCGAGTTGCCTTATCGGGCACATTACGCGCGTCGTCATTTCGCGGTCAATTAATTTTCGTTCGCCACCTCTGCAGGATTATAACGTCTGTTTCATCAAGACACCGTCGGGTGACGCTGGTGTGAATAATTACAACATTATAGGATGTCGACAAACGGCGATATACGATACCTATATAATATAGAAAACGAGACGGCGGCGGGGCAGTATGAAAAACGACACGACGACGACTTTGAGCTTTCGTCTTGGGCAAACTGTGGGTACGAGTGTATGGACTACAATCGTGTAAAACGCACCAATGCTCGCACAAATCGATAATTTATCAACGAGTGTGCCGACGGCGCCTCCGAAATCGACGATCGTATGTATATTATTATTATAATACGCCGAGCACTCTATACGACGTTTACAAGGATTGAGGTATAATGTGTTCTGTAAACAAAGCTAAGACTTTGGGCTGGGCGCAAAAGTGAATATTGTGTACACCGTATAATATTATATTATGCGACGTAAAATATAAGGAAAAAAAACAAAACGGCGAAATAACCGTGAAAAACGATCGTATAAAATAATATATTGTGTTAAAGGTAGATATACTAAGTCTATATACGGCACGGCGGCGTTCCTCGTTCGACGACAAAAACTGCAATAATAATGACGATGACGATGGTAACGAAAATGAAGGATTTCGACGGTACGCGGAAACTTATTAGACTCTTGTACGCGAAATTGTTTGTCATTATAATATATTATTATTATTATTATTATATCGCGAATACACCGTTGGCAAGAACCGTTGTTGTTGCGTTGTTTGGCAATTGGGCCAAAACGCAGTACACCGCTTTGCGCATTCACAGAACCGTTTTCCCATCGCCTGCACCACAACGTACACCGCACACGGTTTACCCGGCCCCTCCCTAGATTTTTTTCAAATTTTATTTCCTACGATGCGCATGATGCGTTCAGTATACTATTATGAAATTCGTAACCAAACGAAAACCAAAATTTGTACGAATTTGTTTTGAAAACAATTCACGAATTACTGAATCAACGTTTCCCCAACCCTCACTACCAACCCCTCCCCCCCACAAAAAAAAACCAAACCGTTTTTACACAATTTACAATATATTGTATGGCACGTAAATTATACGGCAACCATACGTATTATATAATATAATATGCATTACCTACGTCATATTGTGTGGAACACATATAATTATTATGCTCTTCCCTAATCCGATGTTATTCACTTGTATATACCCATAAAATATAATATTACATACTTATACCTACTCAAGTCTACGATATCATGCAACTAATCGCTGCACCGCTCGCGAGCGGACAGACTGCAGTGGTCCTGCAGCAGGAAAAAAAATAAATTGCCGATTGGATGGACCGGTAGGGGGCGGGTGTGTCGTACACGCGTGTGTGTGCGAATCGTGTAAAACGGCACAAAAAATACGCCACTCCCGATCTCCTCGGCATCCGATTTAAATAGTTTAGTACACAACGATATATGGTGCGAGCCCGCCGTCGTTATATTATATACGTACGCCGAGTTGACCTTCTTTACCGTAATGTTGTGAAACGTAAGCGAATATATGTACGCAAATATAATGTGGCAATAAAAATGACAAAATACGAGCGCGCACAAAAAACCAATCGACAGACGACGAGACTACCCGCCGAGTATAATAAATATTAACATGTTAAGTAAATGTCAAAAAAAAAAAACCACTAAAAATAGACGTAGCAGAAGGTATTATAGGTGTACAGTATGAGTAGATATATATATATATAAGTATACCTACCCAGTTACTTCACGAAAACATACCTTCGACCACTGCGACCTATAATGCTTAATAAACTAATATTATACATTTTGTTTATGACTATGTGTAGTGACCGAAAATAAAAAAAAAAACTATTAAAAAGAGTAGATAAGAATATCGATTTCAAAACAGAGTACCTACATATTTCAATATGATGTTATGAAGAGATAGATAAAATTATTACGAGAATGACAAGATGAACGGATAAACGTTAAAATGAAATCATAGTTTTGCACAAGAACAAAATATAAAATCAGCAATGCGTATAACACTCGTAAATTTATAAAAGACGACCACCAAAAATAATATTATGATTATCAAAATCCAAAAAATGTAATGTCACGAGGACTCTATGATTTTTGGGAAAATTTAGTGGCTTACAATCTCCAAACGTTAAATAGCTCAAGAGGGGATATGCGTTGTATATATCATATCTATACATAACGTAGATTTGCGTTATATACATTATATTATGTTATGCCAACATTCAAATGTGCAGAATTTAAGTCCGAATAAAACGAGCGAGCCGTCTCCGATCCGTAGGTATAATTATTTTTTATTGTGAAAAATAAATGTGAATTTTTTTTAAAATGTTGCTCCACATTGCATCAGTTCGTCGTCAATCGTCGCCACTGTGACGAGGTGTGCACGCGACTGCAATCGTTGACGGCGCCCACACAAGCTTTTCCGCACATTATCTCCTCGCGACGCTTTAAAAATTACAAATGTATAATAATATAATTATACGTACGCGCACGCACGCAGCTTACGGCAATGGTTTTGCCGATTGATTATTCGTAGTTTTATTCACCACCGTCCTGTTTTTTTAAATAGCTCTATTTGCCGGCCATATTCCGCAGCGAAATATTATCACGTCGTGTACAAAGGTCGATGGAGAATATCACAACACATTGTAATAAAAAATACGGCGCGAAAGAGCATCACGAAATTAAAATAATATTAAGTCTTTAAAACGGTACACATCGTTAAAACGCGTGTGCACGATGATAATATATTATATTACATTATGTACTGATGCCACGATCGACGGTACTTTCGGCGCGGCACACTTAGAGGAGGCTGCACGGACGCCGAATATAACAGTAATCGCCACCGCCCCGTCTGAACGAATTTGCGGTCACGATGGTTATACGCGTATTATTATGGCGGAGTGGCGGGCGAGGCGACGACGGCGGTTTTGGCGATTTTTACGACGCTATAATAATAATATTGTTATTATCATTATAATACTACGGTATACGGTTGGTCGTCGTACACGGTACGCGTTCAGAAATCACACGAGAAACGCGAAAATCGTTTATAGGTACCTACCTATATAGTTATGTAGTAGTTCACAACAAGTATTGACACGATGGTATATCGTCGTGCTGCAGCAGCGAGTACCGCCGGTCAGAAGATTTGGACCGTCTTAAATATAAACGCGTCGGGAGTAAATCGATATATCCTCGTCCGGGTCACGTGACAATAATTACTGCATCGATAATAATATAATAATAATAATAATATGATAGTACTTCGAGCAGAGGCGTATTTAGGCCCATACCTATATTATGGTCACGGGCCTAGACAGCGGAAACATTTTGGGAAAGACAAATTTTAGCAAATGTCGATAAATCATTTTCAACAGAACGTATACGCTTTAAAGTTTATTCGGTTTCGGTTTCGCTATTGACTATCTTCAAACAAGAAATGTTAAATTAAATTAAATGCATTTCTCTGTATTACATTATACTACCTACATATATATTATATAATACTTGTGAATTACTGCTATGATGAATTATAACTAATGCATATTATCTTGCTGAGAAAAAAATGTACTATAAATTAGATTATAATTACTAGACTTGAAATTAAAGTTATAATTTTAAGTAGACTATAATTAATTTATAAATTACAGAAAATAATATAAAGTTATACTACATAATATTATTTTTCTGTATAGATGATAATATAACATATCTTACAAGTGTACAAGTTAGATGAACTGATGGGGTGAAAATTGCAGCTGCGAATCGGTAAGTGAAAATAAACCTAATCACACAACTGATTACAAGACAGGTATTGGATTTGCGTTATAGGTTTATACTGAAACATCGGCTGCAGATCATAAATAAGTTAGGACGCTACAGGTCTTCGGATATTTTGTAGTTTTTTTCGGACAAGACGTCGATATCTCTAAAAAAAGAAAAACACGTTTCGAAAACGTCCAATAATTTATGTCGATCGTCGTCGAATATTAAATTATTACATTTGGTTTGTTATGTGCGTATTGTTTTTCCGACGACTATGCGTGTTGTAGTCTCGCTCACAATTCTATCTCGGGCGCACTATGTATATAATATTATATATAATGTTGCACGGTATATTATATACCAGCAACTGCTATACGACTCCACACGGCGGCTACTACGCCGTTTGCACTGAATAATAACAACAGCAGTGTTCATGACGTGGGTTTCCGATGTGCCCGGCGCGATGGCACGCGTTCCACACCGCACTCGGCAAATTATTATGTATATGGTATATCATGGCGGTGTATAAACTATATAATATACAGATCGATCGCCCGGAAATGCTGCAAGACCAACAACATAACTGCCTCGTAACTCTTGTTTTACGAGAACGCAATAAAAGTATATTATATACATAGGTACCTACGTTGAATTATATATATTTCATTTGTTCGACGTGACATTATATACTAAATGGGTAGTAGGTATACTACTCCCCTATATATATACGCATCACATTTTCGTCAAGTATATAAGGCGGAATCGATCAAATTCCCGTTGTACAGGTTATATATAGGTTACCTACGCCGTTTTCATATTAATTGTATAACCTCCTGAAGTGCTGTCCGACCTTTACGCAGGTTGGGGGGGGGGGTGTACGATCGAAACTCGTCCCAGGCTCGATCGGATTCGGGGG